AAGACTGCAAACTCAAACTTCTCAGCTATTTAGTATTTGCTCCTCTTAGTAGTTTATATATCTCTCTTGACCGTTTTGGTCATCATCATCAAGTTTCAAATACGTGCCACTGTGAATCTCTCTACCAGCCCCTTCTCCATGTTTGCACCGTAATATGCCCAAATGTCCATAATTATGGTCAAGGCAAAGTATGTTCTTTGTTGGAATTGGAAATTTGAAAGAGCTTCAATGGCAGAGTGCTTCTCCATGTAAAACCCATTGTTTGAAGCTATCTGGAAAGTCATCGCGGACCTTTGTGTGTCCAGACAGTTCGGTTCCCATAGGTTCCTTTCCCTGCCAAACGAAATAAATCCGATTAAGTTTCAAGTGAAGTAACCAAATGACAATATATGCCTCTCAAAAGAATCGAATAAACTGAGAGCAGTGAGGTATGTTGTATGCATGATAGAATACCATATGAAATCGTACCGTTCACCAGAAAAATTATTTTGCTAGCTAAACAGATTGGCCAGACTCGAGCCATTTCATACTAATCTTAACGTTCTAAGCCGAAGGCTATATGCTTTGTTGTAGAAGTGAGTCAACAGAACCATCTATTAGTGACAGGTTCAGCTATTGAATATCCTCTGCTACTTAGATCCTATCATAGCATCTGTCACCAATCCGAGCTTGTTCAAGACTAAGTTCTATATCTTGAATTTTAGCCAATGGTTCATCAAGATATAATAATTATAAAAAAAACGAGCTAGAAGCCAGAAACTATATCGCACGTTCTGAATCAAGTAATGCCAACTCGCTAGGCAGATATGCAAAGTAGAATTTGGAAGATACTGACCTTCCTGCTGCTTGATCCACTCTCGGTCATAGCTAGCTTCGACTGTTTTGCTTCACTGACAATATTCTCTGATGATGACATCTCCACTGTTGGATAACTTGTAACCGCTGAGGGCCTGCCAAAAGAATGCGATGTGAGTTGCATGATCTTGTACGTAGTAAATTGAATAAAGCATGATAAAAAGATGTTAACCATTCATAACTCATAAGAGATAGGCTATTATTGTTATATTGGTCATCAATGGTGAAACCCACACAGATGGATAGGTGGAAACTTAATATAAAAATTTTGGACGGAATATAATCAGCTGGATTTTAGTAGATGGCCAATATAATTCTATAGATACACAAAATTTAAGCTTCTGATAAACAAGTATGGTGGCTCCATCGACTGTTTAAAATTCGTACATTGATCTCTTTAATGCACACTACTTTTACCTGTACAATTGATCGTTCTCGCATAGATTTTCCGATGAAGAAAGCCACTCGACATCAACAAAATTTGAGACACTAGACATGTCTTCCTGCTCGGACAAGTAAATTGAGTTGCTACCATTATGATAAACCTTCTGCGCATCTCCAAAAAAATGTGTGCTAGGCATTGACGGAGTACACCTACAGAGATGTTACAGCTGAACATTAAGGCTAACAAGAGAGACAACCAACTCATGAATTTCTGAGTTATAATGATGGATATATTAACATGCACACTTGAGTTATATTGATGGATAGAATTGACATGCATCAATTGTGCTGTACCCAGCAAAATTATGATGCATACATAGCACAGACACACAAGCCAAAAGGAAGCAGCAGTACATATTTTAGTTGGCTATAATCAGAAGAAAATGTAAGAAAGGTTTTAACAAACCTCGATAAGGTTACATCACCAGCAGCTGGCATATCTGGTGATGACTCTGAAATAATATTAGTCACTTGGTGTGACGACACAAAGCCTCTATGTGATATGCTTTCATGCTTGCTACTCATTGCAGACATCGGTGTGTGACTTTCATGGAGAATATTCCCGTCTGATAAGCACCTCTTCACAAGAAACCTGGAAACATATGATTAGGGTGTCAACAGTTTCATAGGATATAAATTGGAAACTATGGAGGAGAATGACATTTTGNGGAAGCGATTAATGAAAAATATGTAGAGGCTAATTGTTTCAGAGTTGGGACACAGAATGCATTGCAAATAGTTCTAAAATATTAGAACTCATACAATCATCAAAGTATGTCTAAAGAAGAAAACGGAACCCCTCAAAACTTGGTGAAGGATGAACATCAAGTTCTATAAATATGCATATATATACCTACCTACATGGCAGCAACAAATTATATACGCTGATAACTGGTGAATCTCTAATATTCACGTTTGCAGTCATAGAAACCAACCTTTCATCCTCCCCCATGCTTATCTCTCCACTCCGTCCATTAGAATGGGAATCTGAATGCAACTCCCAAACCGCCTGCCTCCCTTGTTCAGGCTGGAAAGTGCCAAGAAATCTGCATATAGAAAGTCACAAAGGCCCAAAGAATTTCTGTAAGACTGGGAGATCATGGCGTAACATGGAAATATAGCGAGAGAGAGCAGCTTACATATTAATGGCATCTTGTTTATCCGCATCCATATAAGCGTTATTATAATAACGTTGCAGAGTCCTTAAAAACTCTTGTGACTGGGTTGCTGCTCTCCACTGGCCTCTCCTCTCACTAAAAACCTGTTACACACCAGGAATTCTAGGAATCAACAAATTGTATCAAAAAAATAGTGAACATAATGGTAACTCGGCTGCAGAAGATCCGAACAGCATTTTTCAATGCAGAACAAACAATGAGACAGACTAAAACTGAATTTCAACACTAGACTAAAACCACGAAAGTAAAATATTAAGGCACCATTGTCATTGAGATATAACATTAAAAACATATACTTAACAAATGTCCCTCGTAATTCTTGGACACCAAAGATCAAGATCACAAAAGAGAAAATTTATTAATTCTTTACACCAGTATCCTTACAAACGATGGATTCCAAACATGTTCATGTACATGCTGCTTCTAACCTAAGAATCAGATAATAATAAGCATGCCAGCTGACGAGTGTCAGGTACAGATACGCTCAAATATAACAGATGATTGATCAGCATGCATATAGGATTCCTGCTGTTAGACCGAGAAACAAGGATGTACAAATGACAGTTTAGGACTTTCATGAGCTTAGCTTTGTCTAAGAAAAACAGCAAGGCCTATTATTTAATTGCAAACAATCAAAATTGTTGATGAGAAAAAGGGATATAATTCATCTCATGGACCACCAGTCCTGAGTCATTCCCAACTGAGACTAAATGGAATCTACTTTGTGCAACTTAAACAGCCCACCATTTAGTATCAACTAACTGCCTTTTTAGCACAAGACTTCCTATAAGACAGTTCC